ACAACATCCAGCAACTCCACTTCCAGGGAATCTGAAGCCCTCTTCTGGCCTCTGCAGGCATTGCATGCACATGGTATATATACATACATGCAAGCAAAACACTCATACACATAAAATAAAAATAAAATTTTTAAATGTATGTGAAGCCCCCATGAAGCAAAAGAGTCTGGATGAGTGTGGCCCTGGGCTCAGAGTCCAGGCTACCATCTCTAAGCAAGAAGGATAAAATGACTGCTGGTCTTCACCAGAGTTTCAGTCTCAGAACTCAGCCAGCATCAGTAGCAGCCAGAATAAATCAAAGTGAGAAGGCTCGCTCTTTCCATAGTAAGGGATCAGTAATATTTTTCACAACACTATGGAACTAACATTGGATAAAAACAGACCAAAGGGAGCCAGGTGTGGTGGTACATAACCTTTAATCCCAGCACTCCAGAGGCAGAGGCAGGTAGATCTTTGTAAGATCAAGGCCAGCCTGATCTACATGGCTATTTCCAAGACAACTGGGGCTACAAGGAGACCCTGTCTCTTAAAAACAAACAAACAAAAATAGACCAAAGTAAGATACTGTCCATTTTCTTATTTGAAAAGATGGGAGTGCCAAACCCAGCCTGGTGGACGCCTAAACTAATCAATATAGGAAGCCCTTCACAGCAGACAACCCTTCTCCAAACTCTGAACTCCAAAAGGTAGCTCAGATATAGCTGTGTCCCCATAGTGGGCTTTACAAAGGAGCCCATGGTAAGTACTATAGCCTGAAAGATATCCCACTCTGCATGTTCCCAGACTAAAAGAGCCCAAGTTTAAGGGAGGACCATCAGGAGACCAGCAAGTAGCATTGATTGAGAGGCAACACATCACACATTTATTTTAAAATAATAAATAAATAAATAAATGGTAAAGGAAATACAGGAAAGAAAATGTTCATGAATCCAAGTCATTAAAGTGCTTTCAAACATAAATTTCAAAACAAAACAAAACAAAACAAGAAGTTTGGTCTGACTTTCAAATAGTCTCCAGATATTTAACAATTGTTTAAATATGGTCCCAGGCTATTTCAGAAGAGGAGGGGAATATGATTTTCTCAGCTCTTTATGACTTCCAATATTCAAGGCCATTTGAATACCACTCAGAACAGAAAGTTACAGCCTAACATGAAAACTGAAATGTCCAAGACCAAGTTTAGTGAAAAGATAATATATAATCCATTCATTTGTCTACATGGAGACTTCACTGTCAAGACATCTGACTCTCTTGGAAGGAAAACAATTCTATTTTCTTCTGGGTATGTTGGCACGTGCCTAGCACTAATAGGCTGACGCAGGAAATCAGAAGTTTGAAGCCAGTCTAGGCTCACTGCAAGACCATGTCTGTCTCAATAAAACAAAACAAAATTTTCTGATTTAGAATGAGGATGTCAAACTAGACCAATATTAATTATTGAACCACACCTCAAGTGATGCCAGACAGTAATAATGTCTTCTTTTTTTTAAGATAGGGTCTTATGTAGCCCAGGCTGGCCTCAGACTGGGATGATCTTGAACAGCCGATCTCTCATGTCCACTTCCCTAGTGCTGGGATTACAGGTGTGCGCCACCACATCTGGTTTATGTGGTGCTGGGGATTGGATTCAGGCCTTCTTCATGCTAGGCAAGCAGTCTACTAACTGAGCTAAATTATGCCCCAGCCCTAAAAATGTCTTTTAAATTTCAAATCTTCCCTGCTCAAATTCTACAAAGGACAATCAAAAGTTTACATCAAATTCAAGTGGTTCAAGTGGTTTTTAAGAATGTTCTCCATTCTAGAATTAAATGGAATTTTTCCCTAAGTCATCCATTTATTTTCTTAAAGTAGTAGTGTTATGTTTTTTTCCCCAGATGCCATAGGAAGAAAATGGAACTGAAGGTATTTGTCTTGGACCACTTCTGTCTTCTGAAAAATGCCTGTGAGAAACATGCGCATTTCCAACCTTTGTGGATAGGACCTGTGGGTCTTCTCATGAGGCCCCAACCTTCAAGGGCTGGAGGGCCTGCAGGCCCACAGCAGGAGAACAACTTTGAGCACTGGAGCCTAGGGGCACTTTCTTGATCTCTTGTCGGGCAGAGTTAGACAGATCAATGGCCATGTCTTCCAAGCTGTTTTCAGGACTCAGGCTGTTTTTGTCTGAGCTGCTCTGGGGTCCTTCCTGACACCTGCTAGAGTCTTCTTTGAGAAGGTCAGAGCTCCAGAGTCCCTCAAACTTATCTTGTTTCCTTATCATCCCTGTGGATTTTTTATGCATCCCTTAGGGGAAAAAAGGAAAAAGAATTTAAATTCAGCAATTAGATAAATTCCTTTCATATCATTGTTCTTTAAATCCCACTAAACTTGTCCTGTTAACATTCCTCTGCCTATTGGAGAGCCAGGTAGACACCTCCCAGCATCAGGGTTTGAAAAGCCCTATCTGCCAGCTGTCACTCCAGCTAACTTGCTTTGTTGTATAACATAGTGACTTGGCCTTAGGATAACACAGTGACTCTAGTTCAGCATTGAAACCACTTGCTTATGTTGCTGAAGTCCAATAAATGACAGCAAGTACCCTCTCCATGTGTGATTTTGGCTAACTAGGCTTGGCTTTGGACTGCCAATTCTCTTCAATCTCTTCAGTCCTTAGGCAAAGTCCAGGTTGTGTTAATGATTGGTATCTCCAGCTATCAGCATAGTAACTGGCAAGGAAATTGTTTATTCAACTTCCCAACCTAAAACACCACCATGACCCACCTAACTCATCTGCTCTGTTATTACGTTGTGACCCCTTTGGCCAAACTCAACTAGAACAGAGATGCCCCAGAAGGCCCATCCCCAAAGCTTGACCTCAGGAGCACAGTCAGACTCCACAGCAGGACCTGATCTACTAATTCAACAGTAGGGGTGGACAGACTGCTCTAGGTTTTTCCCTGCTCTGTGTGGCCCTATTAACTAAAACTTTGCACTGTAAACTGTATGGCTTCTAAAATGTCTGGTACCATTCAACCTTGGAAAATATGTATGTAACACTATACCAGTCTATCGGTCCACTCTTAAATGTTTACCGGTGTGAATAGCCTGAGGAAGCCTTCCCACAAACCGCCTCCACAATTCAAATGAAAACTACGCCATAGAATTAAGCAGAAATTAGAGTCAAGATTCTGGTCCTGAACCTGAGTGCCTGTCGATGCTTTGTTCTGTAAGGTAAGGACCCCGCTCGCCCCACCCTCTAGTCCTGCTTTGGAGGCTTACCCAGAAGCCAGGGCGTGCAGGAGCCCCGCAGGCCCTCCTCCGCGGAGTTGAGCCCGGAGTTGGGCAGCGGGATGCAGTGGCGCACCATGGCCCCATAGAGCCCGTACTCAGCCATCACGCTGCTGCCGCCCCAGCGCTTCTCTCGCTTGCGCCACTTGGCCCTCCGGTTCTGAAACCAGACCTGGATGGAAACAGAGGGGACACAAGAAGAGACACCGTGAAGAGGGATGCCTGGAGGGGCACGTACTCTTGGCTCTACAAAGGGCCCTTTCTCCACCCGCCAGAGCCAGCCGAGCGATCTCTGGCCAACAGGACCGTGGCAGCAGCTCTCCGAACCCACAGGGCCTCAGAGCATGGGGTTAATGCGGGAGCCGCTTCCTGAGTTTTCTAGGGAGCCCGGAATGCAAAAATAAGGAATGCAAAAGATTCCCCCCACCCC